TATACACAGTATAATTCTGTTTTGTAGTTTTTAAAAGTGGTTTTCTAGGTGTAGAAAATTTGAAAATATGAAATAACTTACCTAATGTCACAAGCTAAAAAGGGGAAATCATAGTTGGAACTCAGATCTGGTGTTACTTTGAAGTCCAAACTCTAAAACACTGTGACATTCTTTAACCAATTCTGGAAAAAAATTTGTTCCTACTCTCAATTTTTTATATGCCAAAATTGCAACTTTGTAAAATTTGACTGTGTTTGAAAGTGACTGAAAGTATAAAAAATTTAAAATAAAATGAAATAAAATTTTAAAATTACTAATTTGAAAATTTTTTCATATCAATAAATACAGGGTGGGGAAAAAGTAGATTTATAGTTCAGATGGAAAACAATACAATAATTAATAAACAATAATATAACACTAAACTTTGTAAACCTACTTTTGTCCCACTCTGTATTTATATTCTAATCATCATTTTTAGCAACTGCATATAGAAATCCCTTATAGGGATGTCATCATTTATTTAACTAATCTCTTATTAATGGACATTTGAGTAGTCTCCATCTTTTCATTGTTATAAACAATATTGCAAAGAAGACAGAATAACATTGGGTTTAAGAATTCAAGCTTAGGAAAAAGTGAGGCAAAGAAAGATGAAATAACTTGCCTAATGTCACAAGCTAAAAAGGGGATATCATAGTTGGAACTCAGATCTGGTGTTACTTTGAAGTCCAAACTCTAAAACACTGTGACATTCTTTAACCAATTCTGGAAAAAAATTTGTTCCTACTCTCAATTTTTTATATGCCAAAATTGCAACTTTGTAAAATTTGTGTTTGAAAGTGACTGAAAGTATAAAAAATTTAAAATAAAATGAATTGTTTTTTAAAGAATACATGCTCTAGAATCAGAGCCTATGGTTCAAAGCTCAGCTCTACCACTATACAATGCAGTGCAGGTGTTGAAGCCCATTGCCGAGTGGGACAAAATCGTACCCACCTTGGATGGTGTGGTTTAAGCATGAAAAAGGATACCACTTACTATCTTCTTCTCAGGGCAGTGGAAGACATGGAGCCTCATCTATATTGGGCTTTTTAAGCCCATGGCCCAGAATCTGTGCTGGGAATGAACTCACCTTATTGACTTTGCCCACACCTAGGTCACCCACATAGTAGTGAGTCTGAGGGAGAGGTCAAATAGGGTCAGCAGGCAAACATGATCATACTCACCAGGGCAGGTAAGGAGGGCATGGGTGATGAGCTTGGAGGCTGACTGGACAGGTTCAGGGCATTAAACTTGGGAACCACGGCAACGCTGACCCTCCGGCGGGGCATGTTCTATACAAAGAGAAGTGACCAGGCTCACTGTCATGAAGGGAGCAGCACCCACTGTTCAGAAAGGCCCTGATTGTACCTACTCATTCCTACTGCTGTAATAACATTCACTGGATAGTTTTGCTTTGGGGTAATGATGGTGGTGAGAGTTGGTATGGAGAGAGTAGCGAAAGTTGACACAACTTTTCTGTTAGTGGTGAATGATGTCTCAGCATGTTTCTATTTTAGGTTATTAAATCCTGAAGAAATTAAACAGAAATGATCCCCAGTGTCTGGGTAACGTCCTTGATAGTGTATGAAAACTATAGCAATACCAAGGTTTATGCATCATTTCATGTTCATTTAAGGGATGGTCTAGTCAGGAAGACTATGAGCAAGAGAAGGCTGGAGGATGAGCTAAAAAGTGTGGGGAGCCAAATTAGAGACTCTGTCCAGAGGTTCTCTGTCCTCCCCCGCCCCCCGGCCCCCGTGGGTCCAGGAATGAAGGATCTCCTGGGTGACTGTAGAAACTTCTGTTGTACTTCCTCCAGGAGCCCTGGTATCCCTTGAACATGCATACCTTTCCCAGAGAGAGGGACATGGACCGCGCTGTGCGAGGGACCCCGTCTTCTGCAACAGGAGGGAACAGAGAGGAGAACTCAGGTAAGTTTTTCAGAGCAGCCTCCAGCAGGGAACAGATAGTTAGAAACTAAACCATGGCATCTATGGGCCAGAGGCCTCATGGTCATGCTCCTCTCAGATTCTCTGCATATTGCATCACCACTTCTGTAATGGCCTGTACTTTTGGAGCAGGCACTTTTCCTATGAGAAAGGAGAAAGTATTTTTTCCTACTAGAGCTCAGGGCAAAACAGACGAACTTCCTTGATTTCTTTCTATGCTGTTTGGTGATTGTTTTTTTCTTGTCTGAAGATGCAGACCTTGGAAAGTCTATGGGAGGCTCAGAGTCACCTCTGCCATGGGTGTTGAGGGCCTCATCTCAGATTGTGTACAAGTGCAAAGCCCAGCGCCCAGATAACTGAGGCTGACTCCGGTCGCAAGGAGGCTGCAGGGTCAGCTTGGTTTCAGTTCTCTTTTCTTTTCTTGTATCTGAGTACTTCAATTTCTTTTCTTGTAGATTCAGCTATTCTTTTAGGCTAATGTTTGCTTTATCTTTTTCCAGCAAAAAGTATTTGTGGTTAAAGGGTTTGAAGTGTCCTAGTCAGCCAAAATAGCAGAACCAGAAAATATTCTTTATATATGAAGAGCTCATACAAATTAATAAAATACTAATATTATAAGTGAGCAAAAGTTATTAATTAGAGAATTTATGAAAGTGGAAATACAAATGTCCAGGGAACATTTGAAAAGGTCAAAAAATACAAATTAAAACTATGAGATGATGCCGAAACCGGTTTGGCTCAGTGGATGGAGCGTCGGCCTGCGGACTGAGGGGTCCCAGGTTCGATTCCGGTCAAGGGCGTGTGCCTGGGTTGCGGGCACATCCCCAGTAGGAGATGTGCAAGAGGCGGCTGATCGATGTTTCTCTCTCATCAATGTTTCTAACTCTCTATCTCTCTCCCTTCCTCTCTGTAAAAAATCAATAAAATATATTAAAAAAAAAAAGAATGGACGTGGCTGTGTTCTAATAAAACTTTATAAAAAAAAACAAAAAAAAAAACTATGAGATGAGATACAATTTTGACCCATCAAAGTCAAAGATATTTTTTAAAGGAAAGGGCAAAAGTGTCAACAGCACAATGAAGGGAGCATTATCGTAACTTATTAAATGGAATATCAATGGGTTATTTGAAAATAATTTGCTTTAAGAGCCTGACAAGTATGTTTTTCCCATGACTAATAGTTACACTTCTAAAATCTATCTTAAGGAAAAAATCCAAAATGCAGACAATCAGCATGTTTCATATTTAGGAAAAAAAAAATAGGCGTCATATTTTTCTTTTAAATGTGTATCACTTCTCTTGAAATCAGAGGTATTTTTATTTCACTGTAGTCTTTAGAGTCTCAGGCAAAGACAAAGATTGCCAGAAATCATGTAAAGGCTTACAAACAAATACTGTATATTAGGGAATGGTCATAGAGTATCTGATGGACACACCTGTTGGGTGGGTGCTGGCCCCTCTGTAGGGCCAAGCTGAAGTATAGCTTGAAAAAACAGTGGAGTGGGAACAAATGTCTGAAACCTTATTCACCATTCAAAACTCAGCTACCTCCTCCCTTCTTACTGTAGGCACTTTCTCACCACCCCCCAGACTGAAGGGGGGGCTATGCAGTGTGCTCCCGATGGAAGTCTGCTTACTTCTGTCACAGCACTGGCTACTCTGCCCTGCTCTCCCCTCAGGTTTGGGAGCTTCTTTTGGTCAGGACTGTGTGCCCTTTTCCTCTCTATCACGTGGGTACACCAAAGGTGCTAATAAACGTCTGTAGAATGAATGGGTACCTGCTCATTTCATAAACCTTGGCTAAGTTGGTCCACAGGGGACACGGCACCTTGCAGGGCGATAACACAAGAGCCAGGTACTAGGATTTCTTTGATGGCGCTTTCCCCAACTTCCAGCACTGACAGGGAGTGTTTTGTTAGAGGCCCAGGCGCATGTGGGTCAGGAACCTCGCTGCCAAGATCCAGAGCAGACATTCTGGAGCTGGGAAGCATCAGTGATATTCCCCAGGAAACTTGTGAAACCTCCTGTTTATAAAGGTTTCTCCATCTGTTATAGTTTCTGTACTTACCCTCCTCCCACTCTTGGTAACACGGATGTTTGCATTCCACAGGGATTCCTGTCCCTAAAATGTCTGTTTTCTCCCACTGACACCACCAGCATCAGCCAGAGCCTAAACCTTGGCAGCCTAAGGAGACTTTCTGTCCCAAGACACTGTCCTCCTGCACTGCTGAGGAGCCTCCTAACCTGTCTCCATGCCTCAGCGTCTGCCCTTCCCTCAAGCATTACCCACCCTCAAGTCAGATAGATCTTCTCAAAATATAGCCTGACAATGTCGGGTGATGTCAACTCACCAGTGACTCTTTATTGCCTCAGGGACAAAGGCCTGGCATGTGGCCCTGATCTACCAAGTCTCACCTTCAGCCTGTCATTATCATACCTCAACCCTGCAACCACACACCTCTGTACATGCTGTTAATACCACCAGGATATATTTCTCCTTTTTGCCTGAAGAACTCCTGTTTTTACTTTAAAATACTGCCCAGACACCATCCTTCTGTAAAACTTTCCTTGACTACCTCAGGCTGCCCCCTCCTCTGTGCTCCTATAGCAATTTTAGAGAACCTTTTTAAAAAGAGTATGTCTTTAAAACATCTGTCTTGCTCACGAGTCTGCTATTCATCTCACAGTATCTCCCTTAGCCAGGCTCTCACTCCCTCTTCACTACCCAGACTTCATCTTCCACCTAGGTTGTTGTAATAGCAGCTTCGTGGCATTCCCTGTCTCTGGCTTTGCCCAGGAATGTACTGGCCTTACCTTAGTCAGAGGGAACCTTCTAAACTCTGCATATGATCATGTCATTTCCCTGACTCAGATCTTTGGTTGGATCCCTAATGCTTTCCAGGGTAAAGTCTAAAGTGTGTGTTGCCTGAAGGGGGCCCCAAAGCACAAAAGGTCTGGGGTCTGTCCTTTCACAAAGTGGAGGGAGCTCTCACAAATCATGGGCTTCAAGTCAGAGTTAGCCGCTCTGGTTCACTGTGTCACAGTTGCTTTGAGGCCATTCATGTTTGGCCCCTTTGGAACAGCTGCTGCGAAGCCCTTGTGGGCAGCATTTGGCAGGGGCAGTGAACCTTACTCAATCTGAAATGGGTCCTGGGGCAGCCCTGTTAGATGCAATCCCAGCCTGGAGACATCAGGGACCCACATTGCAGGCCCAAGAGGGGGGCAGGACTCTGGTTCCTTACCAGATGGGCCGCAGCTGCGGCTTGAATTCTGATTCGCCAGTTTTTTAAATTCCATGAGCTCTGCATGGTCCTTCTCATACGTCCTCTTCAGGTTCTCCACGTACTGCATCATCACCTCTGTTGCCTTTGACATGCGCTTTTCCTGCAGGGAAGGAGAGCGTGGACACACGGGCATTTGGGGTAAAGGCTCATCAGCACTGGTTGGCACTGAATGAGGCTTTGGGCTGGGTGAATCAAAAGGATACAGGGACTAATTAGACATGACCCTGCCCTCCAAGAGTTTGCTGCCCACCATGTAAGCTGAGACAGGGTTGCAGCCCCCTGCACTTAGAGAACAAGAACAAGCACAGCCATAAAGCTTCAGGTGATGGCAAGTGAAAGAGAATCATCTCTGCTCACAGAGAATGGGTCACTTCATGGAGATGGAGTGAAGTAGCTGTAGGGTGTAGGCAGCAGCTGGGCATTTAGACATGGACATCAGGGACAACGAGCATTCAGGACAGGAAACTCTAAGAGCAAGGGTACAGAGACAGGAAACCATAGGCCTTGTATCTGAGTAAAGGATTTACCCTCCAAACAGGAGTCCTTTGGAGAGCGAAAGGGAGTGCTATTAAGAATTATGCTGAGGGAGAAACTAAGATGGCGGCAGAGATAAACACCGGGAAGTTGATGCCGCTCACAACAATTGATTAATACCTCAGAAAAACAATACGGACATCATCCAGAACCACAGGAAGCCTAGCTGACTGTAAATTCTACAACTAGAAGGAAAGAAAAGCACACTGAGAGCAAGAGAAGCTGCAGAAGAGAAGCGCAGAGGTACAGGGCTCGCGCGCGCGGAAAGGGGCTGGCACCCGAGGACGCGGCGGTCTTTTTGAATCCGGAGGGAGTCACAAGCTCCCGACGGCTCTGAACTCCGGTTCCGGGAAGTCTCTGGGGACCCAGGACTCATGCGGGGAGAAACTGGACTGTCTGGCAGCAGGCGAT